ATCATGTGACTTTCTATCGTTTGATCTTTTATTCCATATTATTCCTCCATATTATGCGATTACTCCAGTATCTATGGCTACAACGGGAGTGACTATAGAGGGAGTTGACTGTACTATGAAAACGGACAGAAAGGGGAAAGAGTTCTTTCACCGATCATTTAATTTCAGCCGGAATTTATGATTAAGTATTTAATTGTTGTCACATGACACACGGGCATGTCGATTGTTTCCATTTATGGCGATATCCATTCCACAAAAAACCAGTTTTTCTAAATTTAGTTTCTGGTCATGTAACATAAAATTTCCTAAAAAGGAAATTTTTTGTCAATCCCGTGTAGGATTGATCAGATATCTGGTCATCCATCCGGTCTATTTGACAGATTCATCTGATCAATCTGAATCTGCCTATTAGACGGATTGATTTTAAAATGACCAGATTGACCAGATTCGGAGCCTACCTCTAGTAAACAGGGCGGACATCCTTATATCACCTTGCTGATCATTTGCCGATCTTATAGTAAATTGGGTGATATCAGACTTTAAAGCTTCAGCCGAAGTCACAGAAGTTTGGCTGAAGCTTGAAACTAACTGATTTAAAATCAATGGCCGAAGTAATCATTCCTAATTTTAGGTAATCAAGAAGTTATGGCTAAATTTATACTTGCAATTATATTTGTTATAATCTATATAATAAATAGAAATTTTCAAAATGCAATTTCTCAATCAATTTGGCGTAAAAATTTTATGAAATTACTATCAAAATGTTTGTCTTGATAAGATGAATCTAAAAAGCTATAAAACATTAAATTTTAATCACTGGTTGACACAATATCATTAAAATAATTTTAATTTTCTAATTATTATTAAAATTCAGCCAATTTTTGGTTTTTAGTTAATTTTTGGATTTGAAAACATTAATTTTCAGACTTTGGATGAATTTTGATAACAAATAAAATTTATATAGTTAAATTTGCAAAAAAATGGTATTTTTTATGTGATAATATTAAAATAAATGATTGGCAAAATGATCGGTAATAATGTGATAATATGAGGATGTCCACCCTGTTCCTCTAGTGTGTACAGTTAGGCCACACATTTCAACTAAAGGTCATAATGTCCTTTTAACGTTCCCTATGAGGCCATTGGCATGTGCGTAGTCCTGTCCTTGAGGTTACTACTATACCTTAGGGGACTTCCTGTTTGAGTGGTCACTTCACGATAAGGTTGCTTGCCAAAACCTTTCCAAAATCCTGCGATAAATTTCAGCAAGATTTTACTATATGTTTACTATAGTTTCGGCAGGGTTTCGGCAGTTTTGGCAAATGGGGGTTTTGGCATTTCGGCAAAGTTTCAGCAGGATTTTTAATATGATTTGATATAGTTTCGGCATTTTCCGTATAGGTTTCAGCAGTTATTAAGAAGGTTTCGGCAAGCAACCTTACTTCACGATACCGCTTGGGGTCAGTAATGGCTAGATGGTCATTCTAGATGGTAAAGTTGAGGGTGCAATATCTTAGTGGTAGTTAGACCTTCTGTTAGGTCTTAGGCCAACCAAGGTATTCGTGCACAGATAGCATAGTTATGGAGTTTGATTCCCTACTCTTTGGGTCCTAGTTGGTGATCCCTTGTGGTTGATACCCATCATAAGGGGTAATCCTAGACAGATGCCTGCTACTTCCTGTCCGAGTGGTCACTACAAAGTATACCACTTGGAGTAAACAACTGTACTATTGGTACTGCGTAATCGCGGGCTGTAGTGGCCTTTGAGTGAGACCTCGTACCTAAAATGGTGGTATGAAAAGGTACTAGATGGTTGATGCTACCTGTTGAAAGTCCTCCATGAAAGTAGGTGCTCTCTAAAGGTCGTAAAATAAATTNAAGTATACCACTTGGGGTAAACAACTGTACTATCATGAAAAGGTACTAGATGGTTGATGCTACCTGTTGAAAGTCCTCCATGAAAGTAGGTGCTCTCTAAAGGTCGTAAAATAAATTGAGTACCAGTATCATGCAATGGGTATAGGATGAGTAGACAGTGTATTCCTAGCTTCAGATCAGCCTTAAATGTGGCCTGATGGTGATGTCCTCATATATGGTGCTGTCTGCTTGAGGAAAAAATAAGTACTCAGTGGTATGGTTACCCTTTAGGGATGATAGGATACTGGCATGATGATGCCTCAAAAGAGGTAGAGGGATGCCTAGCCGTATAAATACTAGCAAAGTAAAAAAGATGATTTAACCACCATTCAACTCATCATTATGAGATGATTCCAACGAGCTATGGTGCATCTTTCTACGATCATTGAATGCCGAGTTATTAATATTTTTAGGTTTTGACAATTTTGACATGTCGAAACTATTTCAGCATTTCAGCATTTTGACAGGTTTTAGTTTTGACATTTTGACAATGGCCTGTAGAGTTTTGGCAGGTAACTTTAATGGTAATGGTCAGTCATAGTCAGTCATCGCTCAGTTATAACCAGTCAAGAACCTTTGACCGACCAACTGACCATTTGACTGACTGTTTAACTGATCTAACCACTTACCACTTTCGCAATATTTTTGGTTAAAAAAAAGTTTGCGAAAACTTTTTATTAAATTTAAATTTTTATTTCTATTTAAAAAAGTTGCAAAATGTTTTTTTATTAGATTACGTATTCGCAACATTTTTTTGTTAAATCAATTAAAATTGTTTGCGAAACCTTTTTTTTTATGAAATACTTACAGCAAAATTCAAAATATACGGGACACTTGAGAAATTTGATTGTCGGTTGTCGAGTAGCCAGGTGACTTGGCAGTAGGTTATTTATTAGAAAAGTATAAATAACATGTAACATGAGTATAATAGTAAGTAGTATATCAAATTATGTAATAACCTACTGCAGCTACCTAGGGTTGGATCGGTCCGGTCCGGTCCGGTCCCAAAAAGACTGGTCTTTTAACCTGGACTGGACCGGACCGGGACCGGACCGATTTAAATTCAAGAAATTTTGTCCCCATGATTTTAAGACCTCTAAAACATTAAAGAACGTTGCGAAACGTTTTTTAACATGTAATTTAACAAATAAACAACATTTCGCAACGTTTTTTAATTATTTTAATAGAAAATGTTGCAAAAACGTTTTTTATTAATAAGTTCATAAAAAAAAACGTTTTTCACAAACGTTTTTAATTATTTTAACAAACAACGTTGCAAAAATGTTTTTATTAAGTAATTTACATTTTGCAGCATTTTTTATTAAGTAATTTAATAAAAAAATGTTTTCGCACATTTTTTAATTATTTTATTAATAGGAAACATTACAAAAACGTTTTTTATTAATAATTTCACGAAAAAAAGGTTTTCGCACATTTTTTTAATAAAAAACGTTGCGAAAATGTTAAAAACTGAACTGATAATCGGTTTTGGCAAAAATCGTGCCCTAGAAGTATATGAGCACAAAATTTGGCTCATTTTTATTGGATATTAATAATATAAGATCGGTTCCAGTCCGGACCGGTCCTCAGATCTCGGACCAAAGACCGTGAAGACCAGTCCCAAGACCGACGCAGGACCGGTCTTTGCTAGGACCGATCTAACCCTACAGCTACCCGACAACCTGACAATTAAATTTCTCAAGTGTCCCATATATTTTGAATTTTGCTGTAATAAAAAACATTTTCACAATGTTTTCTATTAAAATAATTAAAAAAATGTTTGCAAAACATTTTTTTATTAAATTTTATATTAAAAGACATTTCACGTTTGCAGGATCAGTTAAATGGTCGGTCAAATGGTCAGTCAGAAGTCTTTGACTGACTGATATCAGTCACGGTCATAATCGGTTAATGACCGTGACCATTGTCATCCCTACCTGTGATACCTTAGATTTATAAATTAATAAGTTTTTCTATAAAATTACTGTATGCCTCAAGCTTTATTTGTTAAGTGATAGTAGAGTTATATAAATTATTAGAACTATTGCATAAGACCAAATTCTTTTTGAGTATAATGATAATTTCATACATACCACAAGAATGTGGTTTAAAATAATATTTTACTTTCAAATAAGCCAAAACACTATTTTAAATTTTAACATATCATAATCAAGGTAATTAAAAAATTTTGTTTATACATTTCTTGAAATGGTAAAAAGCACATTTGACATAAAATGTACGTAAAGGAGAATATTTTCATTTTAAAAGTGCTTACTTCTTTATATTATTGAAAACACAATAAAAAAAGACGAGAAATACAAAATTTTTTTCATTGATCATAAAAAAAATTATCTTCTTTAAAATTTTATTTTCATTACATCATTTTCGTCATAGTATCAATCATCAAAATTTTCCTTATATAAATTTCATTTCGTTTTCCAAGTTGAAATATTCTATCATTAAATATATTTTTTCCCGTTATATAAAAATTTATTTCAGAAAAAAAATGTATACAAAAAATAATTTTCGTTTCAAAAAAAAAAAAAATTCATTAATTCTCCGCCCTAAAGTAAATAATAATCACGGAAGCAAGCTTTTAAGCTTTAACATCTTTACCATATGTCAGATTAATATTTCTTTTATATTATCCGATCATATTATCTAGAAAAAATTTCATTTCAAAAAGGACATTTAGGAATAAAAATAATAATACAGTATCTGGTGCACTTCATATAAAATTTCACACATGGTTGCTGCTAAAAATATCACATTAAATTTCAGTATGAAAGAAATTTTTGGGTGTGCCGATTTAAAAAAAATTTGTGCAGAAAAAATTATTATAAATAAATCAATATTGATATTGTGGAAATTTTGAATTTTCAGTTTAGTAACAGATTTAGATTTATTTTTGAATTTGAAATTTCTGAAGATGCTATTGGAAATTAAATCAATTTACGAACAATTTGGAAAAGTGCAATTCACTTTAAAAGTGACAATTAATCGTAAACCAAAAAAGAAAATTCAATTGAAATTTTGGTTATATTATCGAGATGGGCTATTCCAATTTCCAAATGATCAAGAAATAAGACCTTTATCAAAGGCCAAAGCTTCACTATCCGCATTAAAATTGATTGAGGTAAACCGCTTGTCAAGATATAGGGATTTACGGTGTCTAGCATGAGAATTTATGTATTACTAAAGTTACGTACATATTTAAAACCCTTATTCAATATTTCATGGAAGAATGTCAAAGATCTCACTCAAAACATTATAACTGATAATGATGTTTTTATGACACTGACACTTCCTCCTCCCGGTAAAAACAAAGTATATATAATTCAATTAGAAATCAATTCAAATTAAAGTCGCTTTGAACGGTCATGTCATAGTGTGATAATCATGAAAGATGAAGAAATTTCTTGGATGATAAATCGGTATGAGAAATTCTATGGATTACTTTTCTGATTCTGAAGTTAAATATTAGAATCTCCTTATTAATAACTAATAGAGAAAATGAAAAATACAAGAAAATATTAGCATATTGGAGAGAAAAAATATATTCATTTTTTGCCTTCCCAGAATTTTTCCCGGGGTTTCCCTAGATTTCCCTAGATTTCCTCAGCTTTTCCCTAATTCTAATTTTTTCCTTGTCTTTTCCTTTATATAATATTCTTAATTATCTTTCAAGTTTTTCCCTTCCTTTTTATTTTGGAAAGGAAAAACTAAATTATGGCTTAAATACATAATTCTAATATAAATTATTATTTATTTTTTTATATCATACTTTTTATTTTTATTTTATATTCTATTTCATGTATTTTATCCCATATATTTTATCAATATTAAAAAAATTAATTAGAAAATTTTCGTGTTCTCTTCTGTTAACATTTCTACCGTCAATTTCTATATAATTTTCATTTTTTATTAATTAGTTTTCTCAAATAATCATCTCAAAAGCCATATATTAAATATCATCACGATTTACTACAAAAAAATTCAATCATCAAAAAAAAAATCTTGTTAAAATAAAATAATAAAAGAAAAAAGGAAATAATTAGTAGTGGGAAGAAACTGCCAAATCATGGATGGTCTAAGGGGTCGGAATTTCTCTTAATACTTTATTTCTCTCTTTAAACATCCACTACTCGTTTTCATTATTTTGTATTATTAGTTTTAGTTATTATGCTATTAATTGCCAATAAATAATCGTTTTTATGTGATCAACTTTAAAATTTGTGCATTATTAGTACATATATCGATGGTGTATCTTGTTAATTTCTATTAACAAATAAGTTATACAGTTTATAGTTGCAATATTATTTTGAGTTTCACTGATAAATTTGGTATGTACGAAGTAATTAATTGGTCTGAAATCCATGAATTCTGTGAATTCTATCATTCTGTATTCACATAATTTGTTCGCTAATGTGATATAATTCACCAAACATGATAAACTGTATATTTTTTAAAGTACGCCTATACAGTCAGAATTCTTCGATTCTAAGAATAAATAGTATTCTATAAATTTGAAGATTTTTTCTTACGTAAATATCTACTGAGTACTTCTCAGATAGATGAGTACTCGTTATTACCATCTTTTCACCCATACCTGAGCGAATCTAATCGTGATCACTTTCTAAATATTCTTTCTAGTGCATAGAGAACTAAAACAATATTAGTTATTATATTATCCAACATCCTGCACTCGCACAATATGGTTTAAACATTCGAAGCTCAAATGTATGCGAATTTTATTAATTTATTAAATTTATTAAATAAATAAACAGCTGGAATAAAAATGCTCGAGTAAACTACTATCATTTTTTAGGTTTGTCTTTCTTTGGTGTCATTTCAGTGTATGGGAAAATTTTGGTTTGGTGGTTAGTATGACACCTTTTTTGAGTGAGGAAGCATTCTTCAGAACACTAACAACATCATCTTTTCAGTGTGGTGTAATAATCTCATAGTTCGAGTAACTCGCATCTGTAAGATAATATTGATTCAGTAACCTTGAGTTAAAATAAAACAAATAAATAACAATATTACCTTGCTCCTCCAAACCGCTGTAATTAATTTTATTGCTTCACTGAAAGACCCAATATCTTCTGGTATGTGATAGAGTTCGTTCTTAGTGATACGAGCTATATAACCAGCTGGAAGATCTAATGTCATAATCATTAAAACCATTAAAACTGATCCTGAAAAGTACATGAAATTTAGGAAAAAATATCCAAATAGCGAGAAGAAAAAGTTATAATAACATACCGCCATGGATGTATCCAATTGTTTCTATCTTGTTCATTTTGCCCATATCCCAATTTGTATGATTGCACAAGCCAACAAACATATCACGCATCATCTTTGGAAGCTTAAGTCCTAACTCTTTGAGCCATTTTGTGGCATTTTGTCTTTCATAATATCTACCTGATGAACATTTTCGGATTATTGCATCCCCTCTTCTGCCCATTTCTTTTCAAGTATTCAAAGTACGATTGTTATTTCTTTATTCTGAACTTGCAAAACTTGATGATTCCATCTAGTAGAGATTATGGTTAGTTGACAAATATTAATGCAAAAATGCAATTTCAGTATTTGTATCCTTCATTCTCTTTCACTACTACTACATACCAAATAACATCAATATTTGCATATCATCATAAGTCCTGTTGATTATGGGTCCCACACATTAACACCACATACATAATGACCTAAGGAGAATGCATTTGGGTTACGTTCGTATTGCCATATTCTGTAAATAAAGTACATGATAAATTCGCAAACTATTCATGCTGTTTATGCTGTTTGAAATCAGTATTCAGAATTATACATACAAACTGTAAATCAAATATGTAAGTGTTTCAATTTCAAAACTGGATCTGCCAAAGTCAGTATCTTTTATGAGGTCCCTGATTTCTCCAACACTAGTCTGTACAAAATATGTTAATCATGGCATACAGTGCATTCATAACATATTTTCAACCAACCTTATTATAATATTTTTGCAAGATGGCTGTAAAGGTCCGCGCTTAATTCAGGATCTTATTTGGTATTTGTTATGTCCATCTCTTCTAATTCAGCAGGAAAATAAACTTCTTTTAACATTGAATCATTAATATCAATCGTAAATGAATGCACCAAACTATTGTCATCAAGCATGTTAGATCATTAGGCATGCTAAGAAACAATTCTAGAAATTAAATTATTAAACTTACTGCTCAGAAGTGAAGTTTGAAATAGAGTTGAATAAAACATCCTCTACTACACGTCCTGTGCATTGAAGCTTCCATTTTAAATCATCATTCATCTTGTTGTATTTTTTCTTAAAGGATTTTTCGTAACTGCTTGTGTCTACATCCTCAAAAACGTCAGCTTCCATCCCTATAAAAAAATTTTCAGAAAATTGATCACGTGTCTGAGTTCGGAATATAAAACTAGAAAAATGATCATTTACTGGTATTTTTTCCAGAATTTTTTTTATTGGGCATTTTATCTTTGGACGAACAGCTCCCTTTCGATTTTCGTCCTTCATTATAGTCCACGATTTGCCTTTCTCTTAAGGAATATTAACTTGTGGTTGGCTCGTCCTAAATGATTAATAAAATTTGAAGTTGAGTTTTGCACAGACTTGAAAGCATGAACCAAAAATGTTGATCTTTACCTTTTCTTGCAAATCCATCTTATCCTTCTTTCAGTCATAGCATGCAAAGAGAGGTGCAAACAAGCTAGTAAGAACCTTTATCATAAGGAAGGTACATAACCAATTCCTCCTCTAGAATCAGCAGACTTTCCCTATAAAAAAAGAAATTGTTATCTAAATGTCCAGAAATGTCCAGAATATTTTGAGACTTAATCAAAGAACCCATAACAATATATACCTGCCACGGCACTAATGTGACTGGGCGTAGCATACTCACTATTCACTTGAGAACGTAACCTTTAATAATTTTGTTGCTTTTCGACCCTCTCTAGACTTTGGATTTAAACACTCAAGTAAAGTTTTCAACTCTATTGCCAAAGCACTATGTATCTTTTGCTTTGACGCGTTGGGTATTTTTCCTTGAAATATTGACTTCAAGTATCCACTTCCTAATACATATGTGAGTTTTTCCAGTATTCAGGGTATCTGACCTTGCTTAAAATTTCATTTTCATGACCTTAAATAAAAAGTAAATACAACAGTGGATATAGGAGGTATGAAGAATGAAGAATACGTGTTGGTAAACTCATTTGTCATGAATGTTTATCACACTGTATACACGTCTGAGTTCAAAAGTCCGATACATATACGCGATTACTACTAAAATACCACATTAAATTTCATTAGGAAGGAAATTATTGAGTTGGTAAGTGGGTTGATCTAAAAAAATTTATACAGAAAAATTGTTGTAAAATAAAATACGTAATATTTACTGGTTTTTTTCCTGAGATGTTCAGATGTTTATCAGTGTTTCACGTAATTAGGAGCTGTGGCGCAGCGCACGCACCATCAAACCAGGCGTGCTGTGTAAAATATCTAACATTTTGATCATAAAATTTTCGTAGAATGGTTTGTTTTGAAAATTCAACCGACCGAAATGAACGGGGAGGGAAAAAGAAAAATATTTATTTAGTTTATTATTATATGAATTATGAAGTAATTGAACAAAATTATGAAAATAAATTTTAGCTAAGAAAAATATAATTTAATTCGGAAATATATATTAATTGAACATTATATAATTCACCAAAAGTTTGTTTTATTGAACAAAAACTTGATATTATGGTACAGAGTTCTGTAAAGTTCAATAAAATTGTCAGCTCAGTATATTTAATATTTTCCAAGACTGTTAGAGAATGAACAATTGTAAGTCCATAATCAGCAGTAATTATATATTATTGTATAGGGGAGGAGCAATATCACTTATTTTAGTATAGATCAATGTATGATTGGTCCTAATTTTTCCACGTCAATGGCAAAATTAGTAACCTATCATACATTGACAGATTGATTATTATCATTTGGAACCGATCATAAGAGACGTCATTAAAAAAATTAATGTTTTTTTAGAATTGTAATATTTAATATATTTTAATGTGAATAAATGATTTTTATACCAATTTTATTATATATACACTTATAAATAGCTTATTTTGATAATATAAAGTATAAATAGCTTATTGTGATATTATAAAGTATAAATAAAATATCTAAAAATATATGTTATGATCATATATACCCGAACGATAATTTTTAATACAAATAATAATATACAAATGATAATTTTATTTAAAGAGTATAAAATTTTTCATTTTAAAAGAGGAATAAATATGTATTTTATGCGTAAATGAATTGCGCTAAAATATACGAAAAATGACGATACATTGGAAAATATTTATTAGCTTTGAACATTAAAATAATATTCATAGTACTGTACAACATTATTTTTATCAGAATAGAGATTGTAAAAAATATTTTAAAATTCCTTTTGGCTGTAAATTGTAGTTATAGGGGTCCAATTTCATTAATTTCGTTACAAAATCATAATCATGTGATATGTGATAATCACATGATTTTACGCAGCGGTTATCAATTGTAATTATATGTCCAAATAACGAGTATTCATCGAAATATTTATCAGCAAAAAAAAAGAGAAAAAAATAATACAAGAATTATTGCTTCGATTCATATTTGATTTTTGAATTTTAACCGGATAACACTATTGTTATCGGCTCAAATTTTAAATAAGTTAAACGCCACTAACTAAGCTTGATTGTTTATTTTTTTTATCGATAAAATGAAATTTAAAATATAAAGATGAAACAAATTACATTTTCTTTACCTTATTATGTATAATAACCGAACCTAACCTTTATTTCGCATATATAATAAAAAATATATATTTGGAATTATTAATATTGCGATATATCATGTCGTATGATAAAAAATCATTTTTCATTTTGTCGTTTGTTTGATATTTTTGGTTTCATTATAATTTGTTTCATTATAAACACAACGCAGTCGACGCATTATCTGTTATCATATTGTCGAATGATTTCTATTGTTTTATTTTTTAATAATAAAATATTTGGCGTTATTTTTATGCAGTCCTACTATTAATAATGTAAAACAAAACTATATTTAATATATTACATACTGAAAAATAGTGATCATCAGTATATCGAATATCAGTATATCAAATCCAAATAAATTCGATTGTTTTATTTCTTAAAAATTCGATAAATATCAGGTGAAGATTATTCAATAAAATCATTTTTTATTCAGTGTAACCGACCATAAATAACTACGGAAATTTCAGTCCGTCATTGCATCATTAGATTTACTATAACATTACTTTCTTATTTTTCTTAAAAAGTATATATGTATATATATATAAATTAATAAATATGTAAAATTGTACAAAACTCTTTCTTTTTATGGGAAATCATTCAATTTCTATAATTAGTTAATTTGCTTTGTGGCATATGTATGAAATGTATGGACCAAATTTCGAATCATTGTAATGCAAACACAAAATTTTGTGCTATCCGACCGACATATTCCGCCTATTTTTTGGTGACTTTGTTCATTTTAGAGTTCGACTTTATACAGTATTTTATTTTATTGTTACTGTTTCGAGTGTTTCGCTGTTTTCGATTTAGTGTGACCCCTAAAAATCCCACATTTCCTTTATTTTTTTTTCAAATCGCTTCTAATAAAATTTTCTTGTTAAGTTTAATAATTTCTCACAAATTTTTTCATGATTTATAAACATTTTACAACAACATACACTTGCGTATGATGTTTTATTGATATTTACCAGGTAAGAGTAAGTTTCAAGTTATGAAGTTTCACGGATTTCCTTTAATTTCTCTTTTTATGCAAAAAGTTGACGTAAGGTTACATTTTCAAAAAAAAAGGAAAAAGTTTACTTTTATTTATAGCTAGACGAGTATATTTAATAGGGTTTAGTTTTATTGAATAAACTAAAATTTCACATAATTTAATTGTATTATGTATATTTAAATAGTTATAACTATGTATATACATGTTAGATTAAAGATAATTTTAAAGCATTAGGACGAGCTTTATTTGTTCTTTTAGAAAATTAGAAATTATTTAAATTGAATCACAAGAAACATAAATATTAAAATTTTTTTTTTTCGTTCGAAATTAATCACATGATACAAAAATTTCTATTGGTTCGCTTTAATGATGTTCATCACGTGAGAAATTTAAATACGATTTTCCTACGATGACGTGACTGACGTGTTGGTAACAGTAATGTCGATCACATTAAATTTCGCAATTTTACTACTCATTGAAGTACTACTAGTACTACTCCTTTATTGAAGTACTACTAATATGATCGATCTTTTATTTATTTTTGATCGGCCTGGAAAATGATAAACATTCCTTAACATTGTACTTAAGATGATATCATTTTAAACTTGAAAATTTACAGTATTTGTTGAATATCTTTTTAATAAACAAATGTATATGAATTTTAAGGAGCATGTATAATAAAATATATTTTAAATTGTTTTTTTGAAACGAAAAAAAAAATATAATTTTTGTTTTTTAACAAATATAAAAAAAAAAAAATCAAAGAAAACGTAAAATAGAAATAATATTATTCAATTTATCATTATTACTCGACAAAACTTTAATGGAGAGAATAATGATAATAACCAGCCCAGCGAGAAAAATCTCGTAAATTAGTTATATATAGTAAAAGGAGTACTGATTGTATTTACATATAATGGAGTAAAGTACATACCCAAGTCGGAAATTCAAAAAATATCATTTATTTTGGTTCTGAACTTCTGATAATAAAAAAAGGAGAATGTTAAGTATCAACTTTACTAAGTAAACTGGATGTACAATAAATAGATCGATATTTTGTCATTTATTTTCAATTAAACAATATTTATAATATTTTACTTAAAAAAAATAACGAGAAAATTTTTTTTAAAATTATCTCTATTTTATTTGAGACAAGTTTTACAATTTACTATAATTACTAATCTTTTAACATCTAAAAACAGAATTATTCAAAAAAGAAAAAAAAAACGTAAATAATAAAAATAATAAAAATAATTAAAAAATTGAAATTAAATTTCTAATATTATTTAGATAATCCAGCGTAACCAGAACCTTCACCGTTTTGTGTGGTCATTGCACCATTAGGAAGACGTTTTCTAAGTTTATCACTACAATGACGTTTACTATTATGAAGTTTCTTGGTGAGAATTCCGTTATCATTACAATCTATACTCATATCTGTGAACTTATGTCTAAAAGATTTAGTACCACCACTACCATCCGGTTTTATATTCAATCCATCTGTGAGATCGAATAATGTATTTTTGCACTCATCAATAATTTTAAATCCATAAGTCGCGTTTGTATCTTCGAAACCTTTTTTAAAGATACCGGATACCTCGGTATGTCCATTTTCGTCCTGATTAAAAACTACAAGGCCTCCAACCGGGCCAGAATCGAAATCCGCAAGTGCGAAAGAGCATTGGCATTGGTTTCTTTTGTTTAATAGTTCGTTGGGGAACGCCGATGAGATAGTAATGAGCAAAAAAGGAATAAGATAGCTTAAAACCGCAAAGGTCTTCATTTTTATTTTTTTTGAAAATCAATTGTTCGTAATGTTTATTTTTTTTTTTGATAATAATATTTTTTTTATTATTACTTATTCGTTTCGAATAATGAATTTGGTGAGGAGAAAAAACGACCCTTTTTATATATATTTTTACAGAAAGAACGAATAGTAATTTTGTTCTGACATGTAAAAATATAAAAATATAAAAATATTACATAAATAATACTAAATTTGTATATAAATTAATGAAACTTTCTCTAATTTTTTTTTAATATTTTAAACAATTTTATTAAAAATTTATTTCTTTGTTCGGATTATAAGAACCGTAAATTTAACATTTTAGTCTTTTTGTAATAAATAAATTTTTATTATTAAATTTCTAAATATAAATTTTTTTACGTTAAATCAAATAAGTCAAATAATTACTTTAAAAAGAAAATAAGAGAAAAATATAAAGATATTGAATTCATTGAATTTAAAATTAAGAAATTTAAAATTAAGAATTTTTTTTTTTAAAACCTTTCTAATATTACCAAAAAAAAAATCATTATTGAATATATAAAAAGTTTTTTACTTGCGGACTTTTTGAATATGCATTTGTTATATGTGATTGTTGTTTGTATTATTGCATTACAATGAAAAAAGATCAAAAATGTGTTTATTCATACATATTTTAATTTTTTGCATGTATGAAAGAATAAAAAATAAACAATTAAGGAAATTAAACATCATCGAATAAGAATGTATATATTTTATATTTTTTATATAGAGGAAAAAATAAAAAGAGTTTTTCATTATTTGGTTAAGGACCCTAAAAAAAGTTAGATCATATACATATAAGGAAAAAATCGAAAGTTGTTGTTAACCGAAATAGTCCAAGGTAACACAATAATAAAAATGATTATCTTAAAATATTTATTCATTTATAATTTTTATCATATACATGCACAATTTCATTTGATTACGGGCATAACCTGATAACCATTTCGGATTTGAGAAATTTTGAGCCGTTGAAATTAAACATTTTTATCCACGTATGCATTATGATATACCATTATTCATATTATGTAAAATAAAAATATCAAATATATTATATTAATTAATTTTCATTATATCATTGGTCCATTATCTAGAATGAACTAGAATTTTTTTTTAATTGCATAAATCCATTCACAATGTGAAAGTAAAACAATAGAATTTATGATTACAATGATCAGCGAAGTTAGAAATGCACATTGCTAACAACAATTGTATACCTTAATTACCTTATCCATTCACAAGAAAGAAAAATTGACAAAAAAGGTTTCTTTTTTTTAAAAGAATTTTCAAGAATAACTCCGAAGAATAAAAGCATTAAACCGAATCTAACCCTTTTAAATCACTTTGTATTACTCTTTTACTTCCATAATAATGAATAAAAGTTTTTGAATGAATGAACTTCAATTAATGAATGATAAAATAAAGAAAATTGATTAAAAGATCTTAAAAAGGAAGGTTAAATTCTTTACGAATAATTTCGGAAAAAATAAACTCCAAAAATATTAACTATATTAAAATAACAAGTTTAGTTGTGTAATAAACGAACGAAAAATAAAATAAAATAAAAGTAAATCAAAGATAATCATACTGTATACACCTAAAAAAAATCCATTTTTAAGATGGTTCTTTTCCTTTAATTTTTTTTTTTTAAAAAAAAAAATAAAAATTCTTCGCTAAAAAAAAAATTCTTCACCAACGTTTTTTTTCAAATATGAGATTATTTTTTATTTTTCTTTTATCAATTTTATCAATTATTTTACTGGTGATATTACCAGTTAAATCATCCATTACATTTGAAGAACCACAACCTAAAATCCTTTCAAGACCTCGCGTTTTAAATACAAATTATTATGATGATGGTACAATAGTCGTTCGAATAGTTCGTGTAAATTATACAACTCCTTCCCAAATTTGTGTGGAGGAAAACTTTACAATTCGTATTATCGATCCGAACGGAACTATTAAAGGTTTTAACCTTTCAGCAGATGAATTAAATATACAACCTTTCAATTTTTGTCTTTTCGCTAAATTTAACCCAATCAGATTCTACCCTGTGAAAAAAAACTTTTTATTTTTAACTTACGCGGTGGCTAAAGATGTAAATGATTCTTTCACTTATGATGATTGGGGAATGGTCATCGACCTAAATGGAGAAATTAAAAGGTATATACAGTATATAAATGTAATTATCCCCTGATCGGCACCATTTACACGATTATGCAAATGTAGTTATACCTACTGGATAGCAAATTTTATATGTATTTATTTATCCGTTTCTAGGAAATTTTGCGGTAAAAATTAACTATTGATTATACTATAATGGACTGATTTGAAAATTTGAGTAATTTGGAAAGATTTGCATTTTCCAAATGAGAAAAACTTTCTTTTAATTTATTTGTAATCTCAATATTATTTTTCAAGTGTATTAGTAATAGTTCCGAAGCTTTTTAAAATTCAATTATTTTTTAAAATCTTTTAAAATGAAAAAAAAAACCAAGCGAAAGAAAAATAAGATACAACAATAAAATAAACTATATTAAATTCATGATATACTATAAAACACTTACTATTGTGTAAATGGCAGGGGATAAATCAATTATCTCCTGGCTAATTGGAATAGTAAAATTTTACTTAGAATCGGAACATGATCAGCCTTCGGCCGATCATTTATCCAATCCTAGTAAAATTTTACTTATTCCTAATTAGCCAGGAGATAAGTAATACATATATATTTATAAATAATAAAATTTATTATTCTTCCCGATTCTTTTATAGTAAAATTAGGTTAGGTACATCCTATGTTAATACTACTACTAATCAATGGTTGCCAGCTCAAGATTCAGTTACATTAAACGTTCATCGTGATAATGGATTTCTTCGTATTGCGCCCATAACTGGTACTAATTCTATGATCTTGCAACAATTCAAAGTGTAAGTATTACCGTATATTTTAATTTTACGAAAATTAATAATTTTAATATATATACATATATATATTTCTTCTTTTATAAGAAATGAAAATGGGGAAATTCAATCTCTTGCAGAAACGTACATAAATTATACGGCTCTACCAATCGATACAGTTGCAACAATGGACGGAGGTTACGCGGTTATTTATCCTGATCATACGCCACCGTCAACATCAATCCCCTTTGCTTCATATATGTCGATCCGTGGCTTTTTTTTACAAAATGGAGAGTCAGAAAAGCAAGGTCCATTTGTTCTTTATCAAACTCAAAATCAAATATCAAATATTATTTTACTTGATTGTGATTTTACTAAAGTGGGATTTGGTCAAACTTGTATACTGGTTTTAAACATTGCCCCAGCAATAGATCAAAATACTTTTATTAAAATCGATTTTCTTTCAACTGGAACTGTATATAATATTACTATTTTTCAAAACCCTGCTGATCTTGCAGATTTTTCTATTCAATCATTACCGTATGGAGGTTATCTATTATATAGTACTGTAAATAATCAAAATGATCCAACTACACTTAATCTTTATGGTTATATTTTGGATGACCGTAGTAATCGTTATGATTGGAATATATCTTACCCTACTTTAACAAATTTTAATGGTGATATTTTAATTTTACCAAATAATACTCTCGCAATACCTCAACCGGAAATTGATCAAATTTGGGGTTTGTTCACTACTGATTTGTACAAGATCGAGGGTGCACATGGTAAGTTTGATACGAACAATATTATTATATCGTATAAAAAAAATTTTTTTTTTTTTTAACTTTTATAAACTTTTAAAAATGTTTATTAGATCATGGTTATGGAAATTTACATATCTTAAATACAATTCCGAAAATTGGTGAAAATATAGATCCATCTAAAATTACATCCCTTATAATTCAATTTTATAGTAAAGTTGATTTATCATCTAATCGTAAAATTACTATTTTACAAGATGGTGGTATTATACGTCAAACTACTTCTATTAGTAATAATAATGGAGATTTTGTAAAATTTATTGATGATTATACCATTGAAATCAAAGTGATAAATAGTACTTTTAATCAACCTAATACAAAGTACTATGTTTTAATTGATGATGGTTTTGTAAAGAGTAAAGATCTTCAAGAACCTATCCCTGGTATACAAGATAATGCTTGGAATTTTATGACAAGTAAGTAATTTAAATTCTTATTAAAAATGAAAATGAAAATATTACATATTTATAAAATGAAATCTTTTTATATATAATAGTTCAACAAGAAGCTAATAATGGTATATTAGATATATATAAAAATCAAGTAAACGCATCTAACATTAAGGGAAAAATTAGATTAACTGCGGAAGGAACAACTTACTTCAAAAGTTTTAGATATGATAAAACTAAAGTTAAAGAATTTTTTGATAATTTAAAACAAGAATTAGCTAAAGCAATTCCTGTTAGTAAGGAACGAATTGATACAAATGAAAAATATGAAATTGATAATTCAGTTTCACCAGAACAATATATTTTATCAATTAATATTAAAAAAGCTAAAAATGAAAGATCCGTTAATTTGTTAGCAAGTGATTTAAATACTTTAATAAGAAATAAACTTATTACTGTTATTGGTACTGGAGAGTATACAAATTATTTAGATGAAGAATATGGATACGAAACCATACGTAAGAATCCAATTTTTTTTTTATATATTCGTTTTGAAGGATTTTATGATTTTATCACAAATAACTAAATAATAATTTTTTTTTTTTTTAAAAAAAAAAAACCTCCATAAAAGTAAAAAAAATGTATAATATATATATATTTTTTTTTTTCAAGCACTGATTTATTCTCTTCTCTTTTCTTCACTTTCTTTTTTTTCTTCTAGTCTTTTCTTTGTGACATTTCCGTTTATCGTAAATTTAGGATTTGCATTTAAAGTTGTGATTGATGAACTTATGAGACATGACTTACGAAAGTTATTAGAAAAAGTTAGAAAACTTAAAGATGACTTAAAAGAAGACAA